AGCACATTCCAAAGCAGCTTGATGTTCCTGTGACTACAGTTGCACATATTATTCAGAGATTTAAGATCCAGAAGACTGTAGACAACCTCCCTGGAGGTGGATGAAATAGGAAAATTGGTGACAAATCAAACAGGAATAGAAACAAAAGAGCTCTGAAAAACTTCTAAAGAGATTAAAGATGAACTCAAGGAACATTAGTGTTAGGTCATACCATCTGTTGTTGTTTCAGCCATAACTGACTCAATCAGAGATTACCTAGAAGGACACCGTTGTTAAAACAAATCATAAAAAACAGACTGGAATTTGTCAAACCACACGTTAACAAGCCATGAAGCCTCTGGTAGAATGTCCAATGGACAGAGGAGACAAAATTGTTACTTTATGCCAAGGAACATCAGCTTTATGTTCACAGATGGAAAAATGAAGCGTATCAACAGGAGAGCTTTGTCCCTGTTGTGAAACATGGAGGAGATTCTGTTAATTTCTGGGACTGCTTTGAAATCTCCAGAATATCAGGGGATTGTAGAGAGAAATGTGCTGCTCAGTGTCAGACAGCTTGGTCTCTGTCACAGGTCAACAGGATAATGACCCAAAAGACACAGATAAAAACAGCCAAGAATGGCTAAAAGGGAAACTTCGGACTATTCTAAAGGGGCCTTCTATGAGTCTGGACCTAAATCCTATTGAGCATATTTTAGCTCTCCTCTCATTAACTGAGAAGCATTTTATTGATTTATTTATAGTTGATTGGCTAATCATTATTTCACATATCATAAAATAAACTTAAAGCGGAGTTAACTGAACTTTCGGTCAGTTTTTCTAATTCTGCACAGGCATATTATTGGACAACTCGTTACCATTGATACTAACTTACCAACCATTTAAAGCTCCTATCCCTTAATAAATTCATATTTATTAAAAAAACATAATTATTTATTATTATTCTGTTAGAAAGTTAGAAATTACTTATATTATGAAGATTCACCAATAGATATGCTTATCTTTAATTAACAATTGTTTTATATTGTAATAAATTATCAATAATGATATTTATTACTGGCTTCATTAGGTGCTTAGAGTTGAATTAGTATATGGCCTAATATTACTGATCACTTTTAAGGGGTCTTTTATCATAAAATGTTATTGTATGAATAATCGTTTACTTATTATTGATGAACTTTTCATTTCTAAAATAACTACTTTTAATGGTGATTAACTGGTAACAGTTTAAGTGTCTGTTTTGTTTTCTCTTTATTAGCCATTTATAAGGGGGTTTGTCCTTCTTTTCCAAGAAATACCAAGAATTTTCAGTCCTTGTACATGATTTTGTTTTACTGTAGTTTGGTGTTCGATTTTAATTTGTCCAGGTTTCATTTTGGATTCCTATTAACAACTATTGGGATTCCTATTAACAACTATTGATCAAACAGATATTAACAGGAAAGTAGCAATATATCAATCAGTCTGATGACTGGAATCTTCCTGTTGTTGTGATCCAGTATGTGAACCCAGCCTTTGAGAGGATGATGGGATACCACAGGGGGGAGCTGATTGGGAAGGAGCTGACTGAACTTCCCAAGAGCGACAAGAACAGAGCTGATCTGCTTGATACAATCAACACTTGCATCAAAAAAGGCAAAGTGAGTTTTTCAGCCATTTTCAGCCAGAGTCGGTTTTTCTTTCCAAGTCGGGGTGGTTTTCATCAGCCTGATGTATCTGTTGTGTCTAAAGGAATGGCAGGGCATTTACTTTGCTAGGAAGAAGTCAGGCGACAGCATTCCACAACAAGTGAAGATACTACCTGTCATCGGCCAAGGAGGGTAAGCTTCGTTTACGCCATATATAGCTTCTGTAGCTTAACTTAAATTCAAAGATCTCTGAGCTATTCCTATCCTTCTTCCAACAGAAAAATACGACATTTCGTTGCCATCAAGCGAGCTCACACCGACAACAATAATCAGGTGAATAATTGTTTTTTTTTTTCAGTTGTCTGTTGGGTTCTAAACAGTCTTATAGGCAGAAATACAGGTAAGTGACCATGATAATCTGATGGAAGGGAAACAGCAGATGGAATGCCAACGAGATGCGGCAGAAGCCGCCCAGAGCCTTCCCAATGCAACAGCCCCAGTGAACAGGCAGGAGTCCGTGCCAAGTCAGGGAAAAAGTCCAGAACAGGAAGATTCTGAGATCCAGGAGTCCGTAACCCGGTCAGGGGCTCCGATCCAAACAGGAAAAGACAGATCCGGGGTTCCAGGAATCCCCCGAGCGTTCAGGCAGAATCAGAGCTCCATGAGCTCAGGCAGACATGCTCAGATGGAGACAGGCGGGCTCAGTAGTTGAGAGGCAGAGACAAGACATGGTACCAGGAGAACTGCGGAACTTTAAACTAGCCCCCTCCACTGAGCCAAAACATGAACAAGGCGCGCTCAGCAGGCAAGAGCCAGGACACACCAAGACAAGACTACAAGCCCTCTCTAACCACTGGCCACCAGGAACGAAAACTAGACCTAAGGCATAAGTCAAACTTAAAAACACTAACTAAAATTTACAATGAACCCGATAGCTGGGTTGAACCGTATGCAAAGCAGAAGGAGCAGGTGGATAAGACTAATGATAATTGGTGAGCTGCGAGGGTTTGGCAGGTGAATGAAGTGAGCAATTAGATCATCTATCAGGGTAGATCATGACAACATCATCCTCTAATCTGAAAAAAAAAAAAAAATCAAGAACAGATGTCAGAGAACAAAGTCTCCGATGTGTGATCTTGAGAAGGGCAACTGAGCATTTTCGAAAGTTTTGTGGGCTCCATTTAACAACAATGAGAGCATTTATCCACAAAGTTTGAAAACATAAAACAAGTCTTCCATTCACAACAAAAGCAACATCTAAGGTATCTGAAAGCCTTTTTAAAGGTCTGATCAGTGATCAGTGGAAAAAACTGTTTACAATTGACCAAGACAAAAGCGGAGATTTATGGAAAGTTTGTGCCAGATTGCTGGTATTTGCGTTTCACCAAAAGAACACCTTAACTATTGTTCAGCAGGTAGTAGTAGTAGCATGTTGATGTGGGGGATGCATTGTTGCTTTATGACCTAGAGAACTGGTCACAGTAAATAGTACCGTGGATTCTGCTCTGTACCAGAAAATCGGGCTTAGACAAGCTTTCCTGTGTTGTCAAAAGCACACTGGGAAATCCAGTTCTGATTGTAAAAAATACACTGATATTAAAGACTTAACGCTAGTTATCACAAATACTTATTAAAAGTGTCTTTTCTGTTCCCTCAGGTTGTATTTTATCTAAACACATTATGAAAGATAATCAAGAAAACTAAAACAGGACCAATTGTTTATCACAGGACTACACTGAAAAAGTTTGAGGTTGGAATAAATGGACTTGTTGGGGACATGGCCCGACATGGTGGCAGGACTGCAGGGCACTGTGCATTTAGCAGGAAGCAGACGTGTTGCTGCTCTCAGCCGAGTTCCAGGCCAATACCGTCATAGCATGCTAAGCCGCAGCTTAGCACTAGGATCTCCCTCTAACGCCTACCAAGGCTAGAAAGCAGGTGCCAAAGCTATTTTTATATCAGGAGGTGCTGCACAGAAAGCGGCTTTAGCTCATTGTTCTGTTTCATGCTTTGGACACAAGGTGAGTCAGCTGCTGTCAAAGCTGAAAATCCAACCATAACAGCTTCTGGGGGAATGAAACTGCTTGGACATGGTAGCGACTGATCCTGTTGTTGAATTGTAAACCTTTGAAAGAAGATAGTTTCTATTTCCCTCCTTGCTATACCTTGTATTTTAATATTCACTTTTAGCTCTCAATAGCCACATTTTTTACACCTAAAAGTCAATCTATATCCTGTACACAATCTTTTGAGATACACAGTGACTATTACATATCTCTGCATGTTTATTTGTCAGCGCTATGCAAAGGTACAGAGAGTGACTGAGTGAGGAAAATCTTCTATAACCAGATTAGTGGCTCTGCGCATCCATAACTATGTAACCTTGGCGTGACAAACACAGCGTACCGTACAAACTGTCCCCTGCAATTGTGAGCCTCAAGTTTGAACATCAGAAGCAGCAAACAAAATAAAGCGCTCTCAGTAGCCGAAGGACGAAGAAGAAAATCGCTGAGTAGCTGGAACTGTTGGAGACAGATCAGAAGAATTATCCTAATCAAACCATGAGCAGATCGGCATCATTATGAGCACTGCGGTTACATCTATTTAATACGTTTCTGACCTGATTTGACTGGAAATTTTTTCTTCTATTTAGCTAACTCCGGCCTGGGGTTGTGCTGCATAGAGTATTGCCTTTATGGGGTCTGTGGAAGCAAATTAGTCCCAATTTTTTTATGAAATTGTTTAAAAGAAATGCTTTTTTATTTTCAAAATGAAGGAGCATTTTTACAAATAAAATAAACTACGTCAAACTACGTCTCTCTCCAGCGCTTCTGGGAATTGAATCAAATAGATTTATGGAGCACTTTTTCATATTGATTTATTAGCATTTAATTTATGAGTCATTATTTGCAGCTTTGACTTAAAAAAATTCTGTTAGACATTAAAATTTATAGATGATTTTTGGTCACTTTTTCCTGGTATATCTTAATAAAACTGAATTTTAAACATTTTTTATTTATAAATTGAGGTAAAATAATGGAGCTTTGACTTGCATTAAAGAAATATTTCTTCTGATGCATTTTAATGCACAAATCTGGCCTCTGAAAATGATTTTTGGAAGTTTTTTCTTTTGAAAATGAAGTGCAAGCATACCTTTCTTCAATTATTTTAATGACGTACCAAAAACAGTAGTCTTAGAGAAGAAATTAAAAACACAGTTTGGATGATCTATCAGCAGTTTTATTCATGAGTCAAAAAAAGTAGCTATGGCTTTCAATAAAAAATTCTTTTTGTCTTTTGGTAACTTAAGCTGGGACATCTTTTGAAATGTAAATATAAAGTTGTATTTTATTTATCTTTTAAGTCGTTTACAAATTGAATCGGAGAACAAAATAAAAAAATGGTGTGTGAATGTTTTACTTTAAATTTATTTTTAAGACCAAAAGGTGCAGCTTTATTTTGAAAATGAAAAAAACATCTCTTGTGATGAGTTTTAGTTAGAATATTTGCTTCTATCTGGTTGTCTTTAACATTTTTTTTTTTTGGCTCTGTGATGGAGATGTTACCTGATTAAACCTACTTCTCTCATATTTCAACTCCAATTGTCTCCTGCTCTGTTTCTGTCAGATCCTCAAGACCAACAAGGAAGATAGATGCAGTGGGGACCATTCCCAATCAGGTAACAGATTTATGTGTCTTAACTAGTGTCTACATGTAGAGTATGCCTTTTAGCAAGCTGATCACCAAGTTAAGGTCAGATTTACCCACAATTATGCAAAAATATTCCTTTGGACCTTAACAAATAATATTTATCATTTATAAATAGGTATTTTAAGCCCAAAATACCGAAGGTTGTTAAACATAATATATGTGTATACTCCTTTATTAATTCCCAATGCTGTAACACTATCATATATATATATATATATATATATATATATATATATATATATATATATATATATATATATATATATATATATAGTGTTTATTTATTTTCCCTCAGGAGTCAAATTATTCGAAGCAGAGATCCTTTGTCACCTAATGACACCCTATCCTTAGAAAGACACCGGTTTAGTGTGACTTAAATAACCCATTTAAATTAGACTTTATGCACACATTTATTTTTATTTATTTTATTTATTTTTTTACAGTGTCCTGTCTGGCAATGTGGCAATAAGAATAATTGTCTTGATGCCCAACAGATTTCACTTTCACAAGTGGAGCAGTATGGCAATGGCCACTTGTGAAAGTTTATATGGACACTGCAATGTAAATAGAGCAGAAAAACTGAAGAAGAAAAGGAAAAAAGAAAAACAAAAAGAAAAGATGAAAGAAAGATGCACACATTTAAGGGAAAGACTTAATACATATTTAGGTTCCTAAAAGGCAGAGCAAAGAGCTTGGCCTTTCCAAAGTCCAAAGTTGTAGCAAAATGAGAAGGAACCTTGATAAAGAAAACAACCTGCTAAAAATGGACTGGGATGTTAGGGAAGCTTGAATTGATTATTTTTTTCTGGTGAATTTTGGTGGTAAACTAGAAAGGGCAAGTGCTTTCCCACACTAGAAGTCAAAGAGCTTTTTTTATTTATCAAACAGAGGGTTTCTTGAAAAAAAAAATACAAAAACACCCATTTACTGGACATGATGGGTGTGGTTGTTTCTGTTTTGTGCAATCTGTGTGTGGATTAAAATAAATTGTTTTTACTATTGTATAAATTGATAGTTTTCTAGTCAAATTTGAGTCTGAAAATGAAAAACTAAAGTATGAATAACTAAAGAACCTTCAGGACAGTCATCTTAAAAGAAGTTACAGCATAATCTAAAATCCCACTAACGTATATAGAGATGTTTTTATGATAGAAACAAGCAATAAGTCATCTCTTTATCTTCCTGTACAGAGTGCCATTCACTTCGTCACAGAGACAGAAGGAAAGATTCAATCGATGCCAGATCGGTCGGTTCCCGTGGCAGTGACGGTGGGTCAGCTCAAATGTTTTCTTTTTGTTTGTTTTGGCCTGTTTTACCCAATAGAGCAGCATTGGTTCCACAGTGTGAAGCAAACATTGGAGCTACATCAGAAAGTGAGTCAGTGTCATGGTCGGTACTTGGAGCTGAAGAGATGCGAGATGTTATAGACTGAATCGCCTTTACCCAGCCACCGCTGCTATTTTCAGATAGCTCTTCTCCATGCAGCTCCTCTTCTTCTCTGTCCACATGACTTCCTAATTCCCTCCTATATAGTCTTGTAAATGTTTATGATCAGAACTCTCTAATCTTTGTTTTTTAGTCTGCATTTTTAACAAAGTTCACATATACTGGAACACAGACTCCCAAAGTGGGGGTCAGGACCCCCCTGGGGCAAAAAAACCGAGTGAGGGGGGTTATGAGAGGATTTTCTCATTCATTTAGATATTTAGGACCAGAATACGTAAATGGGAATGTCTCATTAAATAAATAGTAAAAAACCTTATCTATTTGTTTATTTATTTATATCCAATATATGATTCAAATGTTAAATATACCATAAAGTTGTATATTGCACAAAGTAATAACTAAATTTCCAACTACATAACCAAAACTAATTTATAGAAAAATGTATTGAATTATTAAATGGCATTGACATTTTTAAATGAATTTAACCAATTAACTATATACATATAAATTAATATAAAGTAATTCTATGAATTTAGTTTTCTGCTTTGTTTTTCTCAGATCACAGGCTGATATGTTTGGGGATCACTGTACTAGAAACATATAGACCAATTTTACTCTGTACTCAAAATCATTTCTTCTTTCCTTACAGCTCCTAGTTTACAGAATCGAAGATATTCCTCTGTCGCCAGGATTCATTCGATGACAATCGAGGCCCCCATCACCAAGGTACACAACTTAGACCCCCTGCATATGGTATTAAATCATTTATTTCTACAATTACTGATAGAGTAATTTTTATTTATTTTAAATTTAACACATTTTGCAAAGATTAGTGGTCAGCGCTGTGGCTAAAAAAAAACCCAAACAATTTACATGTTGATTGTGGGTGAAACTTATGAAACATTTAACCAATTCTTAATAGAATATATTATAGGTTTGAACCAGATGTTATATGTATTTGATCCTGGTTGGACTGGAGTAGATGCACAACAAAAATATTATGTTGTTTTTTAATGTTTTATGTTGTGTAATCACTATGAGGGGAAAAAAAGTTTTAGAACAGGATTTAAAATTTGTTGTATTTTTATTTGATTGTAGTATAAAATTTATTGTTATGATGAAAATGTGAATTTATCATGATGCTTTTAAAAAAAACAAAAGCTGACTTTGTCTTTAGATTTGCTGTTTTAACTGTTTCTTTCACTGTTTACAGAACATCAATAACTATCAATATATTGTATATATATATATATATATATATATATATATATATATATATATATATATATATATATATATATATATA